AGCTCAACCAGCGATACCACAGTTCTATTCTGGGTCTTCACTCCGGGAGCAAAGGCATTTTCTGAGGCGAAAATTCGTCGAAATCGAGATTTTTACCTTTTTTGGTGGAAATTGTAGGGGAAAACAAAACTTCTCGTTCCAAAAACTGGTCAGCCAAGGAGAGGGCCTGCGAACAATGCAATTTTTTGCTGTTCTATTGCTCTTCGGATTAAGAGTTTCGTCAATATTTCACAAAATGTGGAGTTCTGACAACTATTCTAAGGAGAGTTGGCAATGTTCAGATATCATACCAAACTATTATGCAAAATGGCCAGGAGGGGGGCAAGGGAATCTTTAGAATGAAGGTGGAACGTAGCTAAAGACATGAAAAGAAGAGGAAACGTAAAACGTAGTATGTTAACAGTAGAGATTGCTCCAGCTGTGAAGGCTGTGATCAAACCGAGCATACGGTATTTCATCACGAACAATTCGTCATCGCATGCGAAGTCAAAACAAGTGCCGTCATCGCATGCGGTGTAGGGTGCGATCAATAGTCAAACGCCGAGACAACCCTCTCCTCTCTAGCTTGTCTGCGGTTCGGAGTACACCGCTCCTCTAAAATTCTCATCATCTGTAACCTCTGCGAGAGGGTGTGATGTCTCGCGCGCTCACGCTGTCAACAACTCGTCCTCCGCAACGCTGAAGGGGGTAGTCAGGGTGAGTGAACCATGTGTAGTTTTCGTCGTCTCGCCGGATGTTTCCAGTTTATATATAAGAAGGATTTATATATAAGAAGGATATGTGTATGCATTTGTGGGCTTGTAATACAGGGTGTCCCAAAAGTAAGTACACACTTTTCAATCGTCAATATCTCCTTCCCAATGGGTCTTTTTATGCCAGTCAGGCACCGTTTTGTAGAGGAGGCTTCAACTTAGATTTCCAGTATCGATCCAATCATCTATCGCTCTTTGTTGCTGTAGGATTACGGTAAGAACTTTCAGCATGTGGAACCATTGTAAACAATGCCATTCGACAAAATTTCTATCAAAAAATCTGAAAAATCGTGTACTAAGGTTTTCGCGCACGCTGATCTCACTACTGACTTTTTGCGAGAGTTTCTAGCTTTCTTGACGGTGAATTCACATTTCTGACAAATACTGGGAATTCGGTTATTACGGTTTCTTGGCATAATTTTGTAAAGAAACATTACAGTAAAGTGGAAATTTCATATTCGTCAGACATTAGAAGCTCCCATTACCATAGTGTAAGAGTTTTTGGCTTGTTTGGTTTTGTTCCAAGGCAGAACTTGGCTTCCAATGGCCTAAAATCCTTGTCGAAGTTCCTACAGTAATCTCACAGTAATGAAGAGAGATCGCTGATTCGTTCAATACTGTAAATCTAAGTTGAAGCCTCCTCTACGGAACGGTACTTGAGCGGTGAAAAAAGGCACAATAGGAAGAGAGATATTAATGATTGAAAAGTGTGTACTTACTTTTAGGACACCCTGTATATTAGGTCATTTCGAAACTAATTTCGCTTTTTTCAAACGGGCGCCACATTTGATGGAACAAAGGTTTCTAAGAGATCTTGGAAGCTTTCGATGCAGAATTTCATTCTCTTTCTAATGGTTATGAAAGGGTTGCAAAACAGTCAACGGGCTTTCAGACAATAACCAAAACCTGCGACCCATGCTTTTTGAAATGGTCAAGTTTCACAATTTTTCAAAACTTTCATATCAATCCTCAGAAGCAGTTCAAGTAACAGTTCGATAGAGTAATCATTACAGAATACAGGACTGCTTTTTCTCCCTTCCGTAGCTTGTCATACATTTTCAACAGAATTTTAACTGATGCTACCGATTTCCATACTTGGGCAGCTAAATCCTCGTAGAACATCAAAAGAAGAGCAGCTCCCGCACTATTCGATTCAGCATTTTCTCTTCTTCCTAACAGGTGTTTCTTGTTTCCGATTCGTTTAGTTTCCGGGGAGAAATCATCATAACTCAATTTTCTAGCGATCCCCATGCTGTACCCAAAAAACTCGAAATCCGATATTTCGAACCCGCAAACCCTTACTTGCTTTGTAAAATCAATGCTAACTCATAGCACCATTTTGGTAGTCTCAAATTTCGAAAAATTCTGATGTTTGATGAGGTTGTGGATGAGGTGGGCCTGCCAAAATCCGATGGTTTTTTTTCTAAAATTCTGTTGAAAATGTATGACAAGCTATGGAAGGGAGAAAAAGCAGTCCTGTATTCTGTAATGATTACTCTATCGAACTGTTACTTGAACTCCTTCTGAGGATTGATATGAAAGTTTTAAAAAATTGCGAAACTTGACCATTTCAAAAAGCATGGGTCGCAGGTTTTGGTTATTGTCTGAAAGCTCGTTGACTGTTTTGCAACCCTTTCATAACCATTAGAAAGAGAATGAAATTCTGCATCGAAAGCTTCCAGGATCTCTTAGAAACCTTTGTTCCATCAAATGTGGCGCCCGTTTGAAAAAAGCGAAATTACTTTCGGAATGACCTAATATATTACAAGCCCACAAATGCATACACACATGTATACACATATATACACATAAGCACATATACACAGGCGAACGCAACACACATATGCACACACGCACACATATACACATAGTAAAAATCGAAATGTAGTTTAGGTATACAGTTGTTCCGAAAGTTCTGTCCGATTTCTAGTTGCTTATTTTAACGCAGCTATTTTTTTGGAGTTTTGCACTTGTTGCAGAAACATGAATAGCATCTGAAAGTACTAATCTTGCTCTTTCTAGTATTTACTAATGCTTGACAAAGAATATTCTCGTTGACAAAATTCCAACCATCGAAGCCAAACTACCAAAATGCAGTCATGCTCAAGAAAAAGTTTCTATGAAGAGATCTCGCAGTACTCGTAAATTCAGATAAACAATATTTTATAATGGGTTAAATGGGCTAACATACCACACTTTACCTCCACAAAACGAACGTCTTCCTTTTCCAATTTTTTTCAAAGGTGGAAGAGAAATTCAGTTATTTAAAAGTAAAAACAATTAACGTTTAGCAAACGGTGGTACACTCAATGACGCATACGATAAAGTAAAGTGAGAGCAAGCGGGAACCATTGGCCAATTAGCTTTCTTCGTTCGCGACAGCAAGAAAAAATTATATATCAGAAAGTCGACCTATTTGGAAGCGCGAAGGAGGGCTCAAGTAATGGATTTTTTAATTTGCTCGTAAAAATTTCCGTGCAACAAAGATAGCTCGAATTCTCTTTAACCATTGAAGATTCTCTGAAGTATAGGCTACTTAATGGTGGCAGCCAAATATGTCCGCGTACGTATCCTTACATGGAAGCATTTGTACGTCAAAGTGGATGATTTTGAAGGAAACTCTACAAAATTCTCCAAAATTTCTCTTCTCTTTCGCTTGCCTTCTTCACATGTCATACTGTGCTCGTGATAGCTGCAACATCGCTTGATCCAACAAAATTTAATTTGTGCAAGAACCCTGAATTTGAAGAGAGTTATAGCATTTTTAATCACAAAATCTGCAAATCGGACAGAACTTTCGGAACAATCTAGTATTTTTACATACACAACCCAATTAAGTGCTCGGTAGGATTTGTATTAGGGTGTCCGGAAAATGATGTCGCATCGTGTTTTACCATTAGTATTACAAATAGGTAACTCCAGAAAATTCGCGACCCACTCGAGAGAAGAAGACCTTTCCTATTCTGCTGGATAGTTTCAATAGTGATCAGTATCAGAAAATCTTTCCACACAGATAGATCTTCAACCATTTTCTTTACTGAGGGTCTTCTTGTGTGGCGTTACTTTTAACAGTCTCAGCGGTATTAGACAAAGAGTAAAGACAAGTACGAGAAGAAAAGGGTTTCTGGCAGCGATCGAGATACAAGACGTGCATGGTATCATTATTATGACTATACTTACCTAAAATCAAGAATGGTTTTGAAGTTGACTTCATGGTTGAGAGAAAGGCAAATTCTTCTTAATTATGTATGGCGTGTCGATTCATTTACTGGTAGAACAGTCATACAAATGTCATTCAGAACGCTCAATGCAACGATGCACCCAGGTCTGCTCACGTTTAGATCAAATTTTACGGGGTTTATACACCTGAAAATGGGGTAGCTTCATTTTTTGGCTGCGAAGTTGTATGATAAAGCAAGAGAAGGGTTGCAGCTAATTACAGCCGTTGAAAGAAGTCGGCCGAAGACAGCCACCTTTGGCAGTGACACCCGGTCGTCAGTGCTAGCCGTTGCCTTACTTTCCAATTTTCCCTTTTGTACATATGTGGGGTAAAAAGATATAAAATAAGAATATGTAAGCCCGCTACACATCAGGTAAGGGAATGGCAAACCCTTAGGCGTCGTGACTCAATCGCCGACATTTCCATTCATTTTCATTTCACATTCAAAAATTCGGGCTGGAAAAGTATCACAACCGAAATGCAAGTTGATCGGCATGGAATGATGTTGTAACAGTTGTCTCGTCGCGATTTAGTCGCGACGATCAAATCGCGTGAAGTCTGTCCGGGGCCTTATACTGGACAAGTATGACATCGTTATGAATGAGAATAGTCGGAGACACCATGAAAGTCTCAGCGTTCATGTTCCACTGAAATGTTACATGATCATACGGTAAACTGCTATTTGAAGGAGCTCATACAAGATAATTTGCATTTTATGCTCCTTGTCGATTTGGCAGCACCCACGTTCAATTCATTCTATAGCTATACTTAACTGTAAGCACTTCAACTTTTTTGCTTGCAAATTTTGGAGCAAAAGCCTAGTCTTTTTTCTCATTCACAGCTGCTGATGATTCCATTCTCCAATGCAGCGATTTGGAGAAAAATGCAATTTGATGGCATAAAAACTAAGAAGGTTAACGAAGAAGAAACTATAAGATATGCTTCCGAATTCAGTAACAATTGTCTCGAAGCTAATAGACACTGCTCTTAGAAGGTTGTTTTCTCAAATACCAGAGTGTGCAATACAGTTGACTTGCAGTGCTTTATGCGTGAAACGAAAGGTGCGAAACATGATCTAATGTTTGTCGCACTTGAAGAGCAGATTGATCTTCTCATAGTCGTGAGCTGAAGGCTCGGTTGCTGTACCAATTTGGTCCTATAACATGTATTGTGCAATTCTTTGCAGTTTATAACATAAGTCAAATGTGAACGTTACCTGATAGGTAGGATCGAGAGTTTCAATGGTAGTTGTGCCTGGTTTTGCATAAGCATTCTTTTCGCCATGCATGATAGACAAATAGTCGTACGGAACGCTAAGATAATTTTGCGTCAAATCAGCTTCACTTAGGAATAGGCGCAAATGCGGATCTGAAAACTGTTACTAATGTTGGTTTGATTTATTAACGAAAGGAACAACCTGCAATGTTCTCGAAATGCACTGTGATGTACTTGTCTCTATCCACTCGCTGATGCTCGAAACTCAGTCCCAAGCTATGTAAAAGATTTACCATTACGGTTTTTTCGTTCATACAGCTAGAATGTTATATGTCAGAACTGTGTAATATACAACTCACGCAAATCAAAGGTTGTGCTCACTTTTCATTTTCATTCGACTCAAGGTATATTCTTTTCTCCCCGGTTCTTCCCACGTTTGCACCGCATCTGGAATCGAAGACTAGAAGACGAAAAGTAAAGTAAATACATCCTCTTAATTAAGCACTTCCATGGAAAATCATGTTGCATGACTTCTTGTACTTTTTAGTTTGCATATCAAGCTTCCTAGTGCTGGCCAAAAGAGAAGCTCTAGATATTCACGTTTTAATTAAAAATAATGAGAACGTACGACCCGTCTATTTTGTTGACTATGTCGACAAACTCTTCTTCGTCTGTACAACGTTTAAATTCAACACAAGTGTTGTCAGCGATCTTCTGCATAGCAGTTGTGATCATCGAGAGCTGCTCAGGACCTTCAATAACAATAAATATGGCCGGAAAAATTCAGTGAACCAGAAGAGAATTTGCTTGACTCTGAAGGCGTGGTGATAGTCAGATTTGCGATAGGAAAATGTGAAGTTGCATTTGATATCTTTCTGTTATCACATTGTTTCTTTTTTTCACATATGCAAAATAAAATGCGAAGTTACTGTAGGTGCCGGTGAACTTGTATGGAACGATGTAGTTTCCATTCGATTCTGGATATTGATTCCATAACTGGAACTGTTGCGTCATGGCAGATGTTGCACAGAGGAAAAGTACAAGAACTGCTATCATTCTGGAAAGTATTTTTTCAAGTAATTAATAACATCATATGAAAATTCTCCCAAACAATGGGCTGATGTTTGTCACATGTATGTGCACATTTGAGTATCCGTCAGCTAGCCAAGAAACGGTCAGAAGTCAAGGTAGTCAACCTCAACAAGCTGCGTGTTGTTAAAACCACTGGTGGGCTTACTTACTATGTGTCACCCTTCATGCCTTGTGTACGGTTTTCTCAGCAAAGTTACAGCGGTTGAGTTGGCTAGGAATCACAGCGAGCCTTTAGCCAAGATAAACACTTTACCAATGTGGACGTTTCACCCACTGGCGAGCATGCAGATTCGAAATTTGGCGGTCAAAATTCCGAGCCCTAAGGCTGTGGACTTTTTGAGATCTATCCCTCGATATCTTCTTTGCTCAAACAATGTTCCTAACAGCAATAAAATTCTAGCAAATATCTGAAGACCCCAAGATTTTTTGAGACTCGCTTGTCGAGCACGTTATGTAGTATGAGACCTCTCATACGACAAAGGAAGGTTGAGGTAAGAGGGGCAAAATTGGCATTATAGGCGTAACGCTCAAGAATGCTCATGAAAATAAGGAATATGTTTCCCCGTCTCAGCTGTAGATGCTTTTCTGCAATTACAGAAGCGTGCTAGAGGGACACACTCGAGGTATTTCTTCGATGTGTTGCGAGCTCTGTACTTCCCAATTTCCATTTTTGCCTTCATCAAACGCTCACGAAGTTTCGGTAGAAATTTTGTGAAACCAGTCTCATTTTTAGCACGAATTTTACAATTCAACAATTTTGAGGACTTTGACCTTAATAATTTCTACTACTCTTAGGACTTGTACAGAATAAAAGGATCTCGAAGATGGGCTGCAAGAAGTATGCAGGTACGAGACCTCGCACCCCTATTACTGCGCTATAGCGACTTTGGTTCGAGATTCTGAAAAAATCTTGCCCATGCAAGATCAAACCGTTTAGGGGACATGGAAAATACGCATAGGCCTTCCGGTCACATAGTCAAGCATTAAAAAGGTTCAACCATCGAACGCATTTGATGTCCTCGGATGGAACATTTGAATGGTTTTTTGGACTTATGATGTAGACAGACCCTATACATGAAAGAGAAGGCTAGAAAATGACATTCTTTTCAAATCTTCCGAAGCTTATATACCAAACAGCCGTGCTATTAGACAAAACTAAAACTGTAATGCATTATTACATGACCTTCAATGAAAGGAAATCTCTAATAAAACTAGTTCTTCACAGACGGAAAACCTCAACAAAATCATCACATTTGTGAGAGATGACACATGCTTAGATATCAAATATCATACCAAAAGACGTCCATAACATAGATAGGCAAATACAATCAGTGATGTAGCGAGACGTAGATATCAAAGCGACACACAGGACTCGCACTATGGTGATCCTTGAATATATGAGAAGATCTATATGGTTTCGCAATCACGGAATCCTTGCAAAAAACTTTTTTGACTGAGCAGGTAAATGACTATCAAAGAACTTTATCCATAAGAATATCGAATTATGTGGGCATTCATGAGCATTGGCAACCCGCGGAAATTGCTCAGGGTATAGCCGTCCTCCCCCACTGAACACCTAGTGGACGAATTTGAGTTCTGAACTAGAGCGCAGCTGCTGCGGCAGAGCGCGGCGCCTGTAGCCCTTATTTCGATCTCAAACAGACTATTTTATGTTTTCTCAATGTTGTTTTATATCTTTTTTTTTGAATGTTAACAGTTTTCTCACTTGGGGTTGAAGATCTTGTCGCTTTTGAGCGATGTTTCGTGCTGCTATGAGCGTTTCAAGTACTGTGATTTCAAATTGAGCTTGGAGAAACGACTAAGGTCAAAAACTGTGAAATCTTTTTCCTTTGTTAAGTAACATGTCTCTAAGTGTCGCTCCATTGACTTCATATAAAAGACTCGACCCATGTGCATCATTTTTCCAACCTTACCTAGAAATAGAGCTCAAAAGATGAGCATAGTAGTATGAAACACCGCTAAGCAACAACAAAGTCGTCGATTTTGATTACAAATGTCATCAAATTTGAAAAAAACACCGAGGGGAAAACACAAACGAATACAGCATGAGTTTGGAATGGATTTGACGCTTTGCTGCAACCTGCGTGCTCTGGCTCACATTTGAACCATCCATTAGGTATACAGTAAGGGGAGAAAGACTGAGAGAAAGCTCGTTTCTTCTTGAAGATTTGCTTGTATAAAGTGGTAAAAAATCTTTGAGAAAAAGTAAAGTCATTTTTAGTGTTATCTCAAATAACATCTTAACAAGAATTCGAAGGTTTCTTAAAAATCCACATGCATGTAGTATGTTGCTTTTTTCGTCAAAAAGTAGACGAGCCTATTCTTCTATTCAACATTTAGTTTAAGCCGTCCTGCCGAGACTGTTATGGCAAAATAATGGTCATGGCATAGTTTTTCTCGTGAGAGTGAAAGATGTTCACAAGCATGTGTACATGCTCGTGTAAGTAAGTTACAGTATCCCCTTCTGCTTCTTCAGGATCACATCTTCCCACAAGCAAAGAGCTGAGACTTTTGACGGCAGTTTTCAATTTTCTTTCGATAGAGGAGGTGTATGCTGCTAGTTATGAAGAAAAAAGTGTTATGCTGCTACCTATCAAGGAAAAAAACAGCGAATTCCGTAGCCGCTTGCTAAGGGGCAGGGACTATGGAGGAGATAGTTTGGTTTGGCTTGGGCGGTATCGAACCGCGATACACAGCGGCGCCTCACACCACTTACCCGATAGTCTGAGATTTATCAGCAATTAAACAGGTCCTTACAGAACTATCATATGGCAACGCTAGTAAGAATATAAAGTGCAGCAGAGCTTTGTTTGCAGTGGATCTGCTAAACGAATTGCCTCGCGTAAATCCCTATAGATTTTACCAGCTGTGGGGTGCCAAGCGCGTAGAAGGAATGAAACCAAAGAAAGAAAAATTTAATTCATAATCAAGCTGTTTATCTTAAAATACACTACAAATGTCGCTGAAGCACCTTCTTCGCATCATATTCCCACTTAGCACTGCTTCATAGCTTGGACACATAGAAGTTGAATGTTGATTGGGCGCCAGCGGATTTCGATTTTTGGACGGTGAGCCCATTTACTGAACTGCAAGAGATGACCTCAACCAAAAATGCAATGTGATGACAAACTCTATTTTGAAAATAGGGAGACAAATAGGTGCGCCCCACCGCAGAAGGTGGATGAAAAAACTAATCTGCAACAAGCATCTGCTCTTATCGCAGTTTATTGTAGTTGGACTATTTCTGCAGTTTATTGTAATTGAATTTTTCTCAAAAACCGAGAAAATACGAGTACGGTTATATGGTTGAAGGTACTGTTGAAAGCTAACTTTGTATTTCAGCAAGCATAAAAATTATCTAAAAAATTAGCATTAAAATATAAAGCTGAATGTCTGCTTGTCTGTCTGTCTGTCTGTACGTATGTTCCGAATAGAAAATTCCATTTCTGAACCGATCCGGACCAAACTTGGCACACATACACTACGGGCCCCGGCGGGTGTCATAGGCTACTTTCGTCATCGATCGATATCGATTTATCGATTTTTTGCGAAATTTGAGCTACGGGGCTGGGAGTTGGCACAGGGGGGTAATCGAGCATGCTGATTACGAATATAATAATGACAGGGCCGGGCGGAGCCGGGTAAGTCAACTAGTTAATTATGTAAATGACCTTATATAGGTATTGTCTGAAAGAAAATAACATATTCTAATATCAGTAAAAATAAACAAATCGTTTGCACATTTTTATAACCCATATAGGTGATTTTCAAAAATTTTGCGACCCATTCTCGGGAGGGGGGGGGCGCGTACTTTTGCCAAATGTAGAGCACCAAATCAGCAAAGAGCGATAGGGAGAGTTCCCAAGTCAGCTTGGCCAACCCGGATGAGTCATATATCACTGTAACGGGCTTGAAACGCTGATTGCAAGTCTGCTTTCCTTTCCTGCGGAGCAACTCTCCTAGAGAAGTTATGAGCGTTTAAATGTGTGAATGTGTCACGTTCAAAGTGGCTTAAAATTAGTTGAAAGCTGTAAAACAACACCTAATAGAATTTCACTATCTATATTCCGTCCTTGTAGTCTATATATTAGGTTGATGCATGATTCCTGCACCAAAATAGGTACAGACCCAATAATCTGGAATAATCCTGTATCCCAAATAGGATTCGATATATCATTAGATAGGGCAAACCTAGCTCTACAAGATGGTTCTCAAATATCTGCACCAGCTTTATCCACGCTAAGTTTTGAGCCGAAAATTGCAAAAAAAACCATGCGTTCGAAAACCTTAAGATCAATCAAAACAAAATTGTAACTTCGTTCAAAAAAGCTCCTACAAAATTTCTTTCTTGCTCACGCGTAGACATTCCACGTAAGACATTTATCTATGCGATTGCTGTATTTTTTTCTCAGCTAGACGATGAGAAAACGAAGTTTTTCATGTTTTTGCCAAATTAGGGCTGAGATGTTCTAGCAATAGCAGTTGTATCCATTAGCAGTGAAAATTTACATTTTCAGCTTTCTAGACCTGCTAGCTCACGAGAAATGACGAATCTAGCTCTTCTTATCCAAATTTTTCTTGCCTAAATCCAGCTGCTGTAAAGAGCTGAAAATTCACACTCACGCTTCTAAGGTCTATAGTATATAACTGTCAGTGCTGGAACATTTAAGCAGTGTTTTGGAAAAAACATAAAACTCCGTTCAATTTCTAGCTGGGAGAAAAATACAGCAGCTGCATAGAGAAATGTCTTATACGAAATGACAATGCGCATGTTAGGAATTTTGAATGATTTTTCTAAACGGACTTCCAATCTTTTCTTGGTTTTTTGGGGCGCTTGGATCTTTTTCGTTTTTGGCTTCAATCTTCGCTTGGATCAAAGCTGCTGCAAATTTTCAAGCGCTGTCTTGTAGAGCTAGGTTTGTTCTATCTAGTGATATATCGAATCCTTTTTGGGATATAGGATTATTCCGGATTATTGCGGTCTTACCTATTTTGGTGCAGGAATTATGCATCAACCTAATACTTAATACATTACATACATAATAATTGACACAAAACTGATAAATCACTTTCATGTGTTATTGTAGAGGTTTCGACAATTTTAAGCCACTTAAAACATGCGAAATTTAGACTTTTAAACGCTCATAACTCCTCTCGGAGAGTTGTTCCGCAGAAAAAGAAAGCAGATTTGGAATCAGCGTTTCAAACCGTTGCGATGATATATGACTCATCCGGGTTGGCCGAGCTGACTTGGGAACTCTCCCTCGTTAGGTGTTTTTTCGGTTTTGCTTTAGATACGCAATTGATGGAACTTCAATGATACCTTTTTTTTCGAAATGTTGATTTCAAAGTAGAAACCATCTTCCATTGAAAACTTTGTACGTCATCTGAAACCTTCTAGATTTCAATGCACGCTTTTTTTTTGAAAGAAGGTTTCATTTGATAATACAAATACAAAAATCCCAAATACAGAAACTGAATCTCGAAGTTTTTCCTATCACACTCTTTTCTTGGACGTACCGGAATTGGCGGGTTTTTTAAAAAAATGCATGATTTTGTTCGAGAAGTTGTGCGACGGAATGCGCATCAAAGCATGCGAAAACGTATTTATACTGAAAGAATTCAAACAGACTTACACGATCAAGAGTCAAACGTAGGATGGATGAGGTATGCCACACCTGGCGGGTTGTAGTCAAAAGCCAGGGAGGAAAAAGGTAGTAATCGAGGGGATAGTGATACCAGCGATAACATGATATTCGTTAAGGACGTCCCTCCCCCTATCTGTACAAACAGAGCTGAATGTCAGTTTGTCTGTCTCTCTGTATGTAAAACTAGTGATCCAGCAATTGAAGGTGCTAATAGCATACGCGCGCTACGGGACCGCCACGTGGTTTCGCGCTATGTGCACATTTTTTGATTGCGCTTGCGATTCTTTATATATTAGATATGCTATGTGTGTAGGTATGTTCTGAGTAGAAATTCTTATCTCTAAACCGATCCGGACCAAACTTTGCACACATACACTTTGGGAGGGGCGGGGGGTCGTAGGCTACTTTTTGTTATCGGTCAATATCGATTTTATTAATTTTTTTTTCAGAGTTTGAGCTGCGCGGCTGGATTTTTGGCACAGGTAGGTAAGTGGGCATGTTAACGGATTATATTAACGAATTATATTATTATTATTACATTATCGACAGGGCCGCGCGGAGCCGGTTTGTCAGTTAGTGCAGAATAATTACGAAGATGATATCACAACAGGTTTGACAGGTTTTTTCTTTATGCTTGTTTGTATACTTCTTTTTGCTTATTTGTATACGATGACCGCCAAAAACTTCAGGGCGCTTGTATTCTGCACAATGAGTCTACCTAACATCTTTAACGAATATTATGTTATCGCTGGTATCACTATCACCTCGATAACCACTAGGGTCGAGCAAGAGGTGTAGCACATAACCACCGGATAAGACCTTTCCCCCACTCTCCCCCCCCTAAGTTCTCTCTCAGTACCTCTCCATCCGCAATATCGTTCGCAAACCTTAGGCATGATATCAAACTCTACCAAGCATAATTTGAAACATATTCGCGATTATCAAATCACGTAACTCCTCTGAGCTATGTTTTAGCGAATTCTGTTCCTGATATTGGCCCACTCAAATGAAGTGGTCATTTCTAAACATGGTGAACCATGGTTAACTATGTCTCAGAGGTGAATTAGCTACCTCTGTACTCCTACAAAGCACTAGTCCCTATTTGGCCAAACCATGAATCCTGCTTTGAACAACCATCAAATCATGATTTAGAAGCCAGCCAAAATCTCATTTGTCCCGTTTTCCGCTCGCAATGGTTGTGCTCCCTGCAAGTATTGGGAACGAAAGAAGACGAGTTCAGCTCTAATCACTTCCGCAAAAACTACGAGATTTTGGCTATCGAACCATAATTTTGTTCGCTAAAACTCTCTTTGGAGGTAAGTTAATGGGGTGTGGAACAACCTCAAAAAGGCTGTGGCTGCAACATCTTTTTAGGGGTTATGCCACACCCCGCTAACTTACATTCAAAACACTCATATACCTGTGTTTTTTTATATCGTTGCTACTGCTATACCTTCTCTCTGTACAGCAGAAATTTCATTTAAAATCGTTTGTCCTAGGGAGCGAAAAAATATATTTGTTTTTCCTCACCGTAAAAAGCTAAATCTGCGCTACTACGTGAATCGCGAAGGAAGGTGGCAAGAATAAATACATTCGACAGCTCAAACCTCGCAATTCTCACAAACGTGATTTGAGCCTAATTGGTTTTCTCTGGTCTGAGATATTGGAATCGAAAAATGGAACAAGATTTGGCTTGCTCTTAATTCGTAGTTTGGAGGTTATTTGAAGTAGGATTTGCAACGTTTGCAAAGAAGTGGTACTTCTTCGTTTGAGTGCAAAAAGAAGTAGTTAGCTCATCTTCAAAACAAAGTAACATGTTCAAAAATGACCGTCTCACTTGGGTGGTCCAATACTTGGAAAGATTGATTAACTAAAATTTGGCCCACAGGGGCTGTTTGCCATGCTGATCACGAAAATAATGCTCTTGTGCTTTTAGGGCTCTTTTATCATACTTAATGTACGTATAAGATAGGCCAAAACATTAAGGTGCTAGAATGAGCAATCTAACATTCTCAACTACCACGAATGGAGACCTCCCTCATAGAGGAATCACAGCCGGTCAGTCGCGAGACTACGTGGGGCATCCCCACGTGGCGGATAGGGAGATAATTGCCCACCAAAAGCGACCCCGCGCCTGTTCTGATAAATAAGCGGAGCCGGGGGACGGACTCCCTACGTCCACTAAAAGCTTGCACTCTGAATACCCGGGTAGGCGCGTGGAGGGGTGAGTTCGGAGTCGCCTTCAACGAGTAAGCTCCGATCGTCCCTCGCGAGGTTTTGAGCCCAACAAATTATCCCTGCGAGTAAATCTTGTTCGACACAGTGATATTATGGAAAGCTCTTTTGAATTGAAAAACCACTGGTAAGGCAGCTCCAGAGGGGACAAAGTTTGAA